TGGGCGGGGGGGAAGGTGGGAGGGAAGGTGGGAGGGAATGACTTTGAAAAGTTGCATTGGGAATGCATGTTTTGGGGCAGAATAAAATAGTATGTGAGCTTTGAAGTTGGGATTTTTGGCTTAATGTGGTATCCTAAGGCTGTGTAGATATTACTAGCTTACATGTTTTTATTTTTTTAAATGAAAAAGGGGAGTATTGTATCTGAAGCTTCCTACACAGGAGATCTGCAGAAAACTCTTATGGAGGTCCTCAGTTACTGCCAGGTATCTTTCTTTTTTAATCTCTGAGATGACCTTAAAACAAAATTTTTTGTTAGATTTCGGGAATATTTGTAATCTGTAGTTGATATTCTACTACTTCAGTATTTCCTGTTGTTCAAATCTTAGCTTTCACTTAACTATAGTTTTTTTTTTTTAATCAAAAATAATCTGTTTCTTCATACTGTCTGAACTCTTTACCCTACAGTTGCCATGAGTACTTTTCAAATGTTCAGTCTTATTGCAATACGTAAAGTCCAGTGATTTGTAAAGGGCTTCATGGTAATGGGGAAGATTTGACTGTCATATACACTTAGCTTTTGAATGTACTTGAGGCTTGCTTTTAGAATAGTGCCAGAATCCTGGTAATGTTGGTTTTTGTTGACCTCTTTGCTTTTGACTTCTGAAGCAGTAATCATCAAGATTGAAAATCACTGTACCAGTGAAAACTAAAAGCATCCCTTATTTATGTAGGTGAGAACCTGGAACGACTAGAGTCACAGTACTCCAAAGTACAGCTGAATGTCTTTCACTCTGAAGAGGATAATATCTGAGTGTCTTGTAGCTAACTATTAAATGTCTTATAAGTCTCATTAGGGATATATCTGGCAATATATGGAAGAAAATGGAGTGAGACTGTGCAACTAATGTTCTTGTCACTTATTGGGAGCATGCTTCTTCTAACAAGTAGTGCTAATGAGAAACTACAGCCTCTTTTGTTGCCTGCTATCCCCGTTCCTTCTCCTTTTCCTTGTTAGTAACCATTCCCCCTAGTAAATTTGCCCCCATAGTTTCCTGTATACATTAGGGACACATGAAGTCATTCAATATTGCCTTGTCACCGACATGTGTTTAAGGCCTTACAGCGCTTCCTTCAGATACCAGTAAGTTTCCAGATGATGTATAGATTTTTTTTTTTTCTCTAGGGATAATTAGTCTTTAAAAAGATAGCTGTGATCTTCAAACCTAGCAGTTGGTTTGCTGAAATTGAAAATAATTTTAAATTCTTTACCACTGAATCCATCCTGCAATCTTTGTGGTTTTATAGCCATATGTATTTTTTTTTTAAAGAATTTCTCTGTAGTTACGTTGTAGATCAGTCATGCAATAAAATAAATTGCTTTTGTTAGTTGAAGACACACATTTCCTTTTTCTAACTCGTTCCACTTTAATGGCCTTACATATTTTTTGCAGTAATAGCCGGTGACATGTGCCTGATATGTATTTTCAAGTTGGCAGTGTCCTTTTCAATATTGGATTGATATTCTTTATCTAACTCCTTTATTCTGTCATGACATGAAGTATATATCTAAGATAAATTGCTGTGTAAGTATTAGTTCAAGTTGCTAAATCCTAGAAGTACTGAAGAAGGGACTTCCCTATGTCACAGAGTAATGTGTATTGATAACTGGTGGGCTTTGGATGCTTTGATTTATCTGGCTTTTACGGGTGAGAACTTGAGCCTTCAGGATAATACTTTTAAAGAGTTTGTACCTGATTGTATAAGTAAGGCAACATGAATTTTTAACCTCTGAGAGAAAATTTGATGAGCTTGGGGATGGATGACTGAAGATCAGACGCTCTCTCAGTCAAATAAGTAGTTTTTCAAATTCTTCATCGTTTATTCTGTGATTATTAAAAATGTGGGTTCAATTGATTTTAGTACTGTTTGTTCTGAGATGAAAGGCTGAGATGGTCTCTCTATGCATCGGTTACCCTCATCTCATTTTACTTTAGAGATGGTATTTCTCTAAATGCATTTCCCATTAGTGACGTGAAAATCAATATCTCAGTGAATGCCTATGAGCCTTTTAACCGTGCTTAGAAACTTATTGTCACTTAAAATAGTATATCATGATACCCAGCTTACTTAGAGATTGTCAGTGGCTTTTCAGTGTAAAATGAAATGTACCAAATATTAGAGAAAACGAAACATTTAGGGAAAGCAGGAAGAACGACCGATAATTGCCAGCTGTAAAGTAGCAGGAGTAAGCTCCTCTGAGAACTTTTTGTGATGTTTACTATTGTTACTTGCATATTGTGAGAAAGTCGGTCTTTAGTATGCATATAGAATGTATTGATCTCACCCAGTTTTAGAGAGGGAATTTCGCCTTAAACTTTAAGTTAGGTTCTTGCAAAACAGTATTATTTCCAACTTTAATTTTTTTCAGGCCATGTATGATGCCATTCAGAAACTGGATAAAAAGTTTGACCTGCTTCATCGAAAGGTTTCTGAAATGCAGCATACTCGTGTGAAGCCACTGTTGCTCAAACCTGTGAGTATTAAAGATGTAAGAAGTTCTTTTTTCCTTTAATTCTGTCATTGTTTTCTGATGCTTATTTAAAAAAAAAAAAAACTTCTCCTTTCACTGAGATTAAATTTAGTAGCAAACCAGTGGGTTTAGCATCCATTTCAATTAGATTATTCTAGATATCTTCTTATAACCTAACTTCAGTCTCCTGTGTTCGTTTTAACCAGTGCTCATAGAATGGCCAGTGGTCCACATCAAGTTCAGGTGCCGTGGTAGATGCTGTGAAGCTCTTTATCTGTAGTGATGGAAGAGAGATGTCTGGGTTACCTCTTGGGCTGGGTGTGCTGGTGTAGCTTGACTGGCTTCAAAGTGGCATTACTGCTTTACTAGGTGTAGCATGCTGTCTCATTGATCTCTCAGCTTCTGCAGCCAGAAGAAAGTTTATGTACCACTTACCCAGGCTGCTATAATTAACTAATTGATTCTTAAATCTCAGCAGTATGTTATCATATCTGTTATGGTAGAATAGTTTTTTTCCTAATAAAATGCTATGTTTATTTAAGAAGGTGTGATGCAGAGTACACTCGATACATTTTGTTACGTGTTTAATCCACTCTTAACTGAAGACACAGAATATTAATGTTTGTAACTAAGTCACAAACCCTTCTTAAAGGAAAAACCTAAGCAGATGACTTTTTGAGAAGATCATCGAATCCGTAGCGACCTTTCTTTGTCAACAGCACTGAAAACCTTTTTATGTGGCAGATGTGATTCTGGGGTGTCAATAAATATAGAGACATCAGTAAGACTGTTCAGTTTGAGGGGAGAAAATGGTGACATTCTCAAGCATGTCAGTTACGAATAAGATGGTGTGTTTTATTTGGGAATTTTTGTTGTTGTCCTGACAACTCCAAATTTGTACGGCCCATTTATCCAAAAATAGCCAGATTCAGGGAAGAACCTGGTCCTGCCAGCTGCACTTGGTCCCTGTGATCTCTGCTCTTTTATCGTCCACTCTGATCGTATATGATGACAGCTGCTATAATGTCCAGGTTAAAAGTTACCTGAACGCTTTTTTTTTTTTTTTTTTTTTAAAAAAGATTACATGATACAGCGATACAGGTTATGGGGAAGCAAACAGATGCAGGCTGCCAACCGTTTTCTCGATTTCTACTGTCAGGAGTGCTATAAATTTTTATAGGCTTGCCATTGTTGTACCTGTGATGGTCTAAGGATGTAAAGAAAGATTTGTGGTAAAAGTACTATTTTCTTGTTAGATTAACTCAGATGGAGAAATGGACAAACCTTCAGGCCCATAAACCTTTCTTCAGGTCAAAGATTTTTAAAGGTTGCGAGGGTGGAATATAATCAGACCACTATAAAAACTAGGTATCTACTGTACTTGGTGAATCTTGCTCAGTGACTTATATTTTCATCTAGAACATATGTTTTAGGGTGCATATCTTTCTTAATAAAAGCACTCCAATTGATGGAAAATATAGCCCATCTCTCAATTTGTCTTTTTTATTCTGTTCGGAATTTTCCGTCTTAGACAAGATCTGAATTTCTTATGCTTTCAGCTAGCAAGTAAAGAATGAAGAGGCAGCCTGGAGAAAAAACGAATAGGTTTTAATTATCTTTGTTAGAACGAAATTTACACTGCAGAGGAGGCTATGCACTTAAAATTCAGCAGACTGGGTCAATTGCTGATAAATGCTGAATTTTCTTTTGCCTATTCCTTTTCATTAAACAAAACCAAAAATCTCTCCACAAAGCAGTCTTCCTCATTATGTATTTCTTTGGCTTTTTAGAAAGCGACTGTGGAAGCACATCAGGGGGAAAAAACTTGAGACACCTACAAGCTGAGCAGATAGACTATTGGTGTTTGGACTACAAGTTAGAATAAAAAGAAATCAGAGGGAAGGAGAAAAAAGGAATAGCACTGGTTTCTTGACAATGACTACTTAAAGAGTCTGTTGCCAATAGCGAATTACAAAAACTCAATCTTTCTAGTTTGCTAAGGAAAAAAAAAGATCAGTATTTAATCTTTTATTTGTTTTCTGAATCGTATTTTCAGAGACCAGTTGGCTTTGCATACAGAAGTTCCAGTCACTTGCCCCAAGGAAAAATTGGAGTACAAAAATCGATGGAAAGGGAATCAAGCCTTCATCTCTCTTCACCAGGACAGGGAAGGCATAGCCCAGTCATAAGGGTTGCCCTACAAAAGGGCCACGTTCAGGTCAACTCCACAATAAAACGCGTTCAACAGACTCTTCAACTTGAGTCACAGCAGCCTGTTCTTAGGCAGAGCCCACCACTCCCCACTATAGTTTCTACTCATTCATTGCATTCGCCATACACAGCAACTAACGGGATCCCTGACCTTCCTCCACGATCAAATCTTGCAGCTACAGTTGTGGAAAGCACTGTCAACATTGCCTCTTCACCAGTGGCATCGTCAGTGATGCCACCATCTTCTGAGACCAGTTTGGGAAATAATGCTGTGCTAGTAAACTACAGAAATGCATCTGGGAATGTGAATATTAGTAAAGAGCTGCCGTCTTCTTCAGTCTCAATCAATCCTAGCCTTGGTGAGTTCTTTGTGATAGATACCTAGAAGAGCAGGCTGAAAAATAAAATGCTGCTCATTAATAAATAAAAATAGCCTAAAGTAGTGCATATGTCATTATTTAACAAAAGTAAAGGAGCAGAACTGGCTGCCTTACAAGCCTTTGTATAATGGAATAATATTTAAAATTCTTGAAATAAAATTAGTAGGAATGCCTAATGTGCCACTTTAAACCTCTGTACAGTATATATGTAGTTATATAGAATAACATAAGCCTTTGATTTACAGTACGTGCTTTGGGTTATTTCAGGACTAAGCCCTATTCTTTTTCAGTGCTCTTAATATAAACTATTTTGACCTGTATACATGTCATCAGTAATATATACATACTGTGCCTATGTTTAAAAAGACAAAACAGATTGCTGGTAAAGCTCAGTGGGACGTATGACTTGTATAAGTGTTCTGCATTTAAGAAAGCAACTTAGCGGGCTTGTGTGAAGGAAATACCTATTTTCTTCCTGCAGAGCATTTTATCAGTGAGAGTTCCTTTCCATCCTCAATTTCTCAGTGTCTGGTTTATTTCAAAATATTTAATTCCACAGAAAATGAAGAATTCTATAGGTTATTGCATTATAATTAACAAGCACACACAAAAATAACAGCACATTTTAAAATCTGTTGCATTTTTTTGTAAAGCATGAATGCCCTGTGTTGTGTGGAAGGCTGGGTTTTGAGATTTTGGTTGGTTTTGGTCTAAAAACGGTTTTATCATGCAGCTGAAGAGCCGAATGAATAGTAGATGAAACGCTCAAGGATGCCTATCTGTAAGTTTGTATGTAGTGTATGATTTAGGAGTACTATGTATGGATATGCCATATGTGCCATTCTTCATGGGTCATTGCCTTAGAAACATACACAGTATCTGCACGTGTGCAAAATGGGCCTCTGAATGGACCAATCTGCACACTTGGACCTCTTATGTTTTTAATGTATTTTCTTTAGTGTTACTATTTCCGTTAGCTATCTTGGTGGCTAATATGAACTGAAGAGATATTTCCTTTAGCATTCCAATTTAAAGCTGCTTTTTGTTTCTTCTATACATGCACAGATAAGTAATATACAGTGTAATCCGTTGTACTAGAGAACACTTACTGAGAATTCCTTATCTGTAACTTGATGCATCTTAAGAGAAGCAGTTTGAAGAAGTGCTGCTTTTTAACTGCCTTTTTTTTTTTTTTTTTTTTTTAAGAGTATGTTGGTGACCCATTGAGAAATGTAAAAGTTCTTGGAAACTATTTGATGAAAGCTCGGCAAAAGACTAAACCAAAGTATGCAGCACGCTACTTGGTCCGTGTCTTGTTCCCCAAGGAAACATTACTGTGTAGCATTATGGGAGTGAGCGCACGAGGGCGCAGAACGTTAGACCCTAACAAAATCGCTGCAATAAGAGGTATGTTGCCTTCCAAAATTCACATGCTTGCTTTCTTCTTCAATAGTTTCTGTAGTTGTTAACTTGCAAGGTGTCCTGGTCTCTGTTAATTATTGTATAACAAGCGCTAAACTGATAAATGGAGCAGTGAATGTGCTCCACGCTGCTTTGTCCTTTGGTTTTGAGAGAAATATCTGCCTTATAATTTTCAGTGTTCATTTTGAATTCTTCGATATGGACGAAACGCTTCTGTTTTCGCGTAGTTTCATTTACTTATTGTTCTTCAGTCATGCTAATTTTTTCTAAATTTTTCATTACAACTTGTTTGTAGGTGATCATGGTTTCTCTTTATTTTTTTTTTTTTTTTTTAATGTGGCTGTAGCACACCTGTGGCAAATGTTCTTCTCTATCCTTGAAATTCACTTTTCTTGCTTGTTTAAGAGATGGTGAAGGTGGGGAGAGCATATTTTTAAATGTTGTCAGGCCATTTACCCAGATCCCCAGGCACCTTTGTATGAATATCCCTATACATATCCCCCTTCCTGTTTGAAGGGTGAGGGAGGTTACTTAAACCACCTAAATTAGTTGCAGCATCAGCATTAGTTGGTCGCTCTTTTTTTTTTAAAAAAAAAAAAAAAAGTTGATATGATAGAATTAGGAGAAAAGCGTAATTTACCAGGAAATGCTGAATAATAAAAATACTGTTTACAACACATCAAAAAATATTTTTGTACATCTTAATTTTGAAATGCTGCGTGGCTTCAAAGTATGAATTTTTTAGTCTCATGTTAATAAAAGCTAGAAATCGAAAGCTCCTAATATAGGCATTTATTAGCCTTCTCCTTTTAAGTTAGAAAGCTCTTGAATGCTGCTTTCTTGTCATGAAGCTTAAAAGTCTTTCTACCTTTTATGTGCAGAATTTCTTGCAGCTAACTTTCCGAACTATGATTTGAGTGAATATGGAAAAGACTGGAAGACCTGTATCACAAATGTTAATGCTATGATCCGCTGTTTACGCTCGGAAACAAAAATAAACTCAGTAAGTTATCTCAGGGTGATCAGTTTTTAAGTACTGCTTGTAATTCTTTCTCAAGTAAGCTATTTAAACCCCTCGCTTACATGAGTGCTTTAATTAGAGACTTCTTGGGTTCTATCTTTGCATAACTCAGCATAGGTCTGCTGATTGCAGCACCAGTACCATACGGGAATATTGGCAGCATGTCCCTTTCCCTTTCTCCGTCTCTTCCTGCTGTCCTGTTTAGCATTCATACAATAAGAGATGTGGACAACATTTACAGTACTTTCCTTTTAGTATCTTATGTCTTCACAAGTAGCATCAAATTTGATTGAGAGCTGAAATGTGTTAACTACTAGCACTGGTTTCACAGACTTTCCATCAGATGTATCTAGTCATGCATTTCTAGGCTTTATAGTGACTGAAATATCACTGCCAAAACACCTGTAACTCCATTTACCTCTGCTTCTAAAATGCTCTGTTTAAATCCATGAATGTTAAGTGCCTACTTCACCTGTGGCTTTAATGGCTGAAATGCAGGACTAGCTATATTGTAAATCTGTGGAATCTAATTTGTACCGTTTGGGGATTGAACTAGAACACTAATTAGCAAACTGTTAGCCTTTTGCTAGTATATGTGTTAATCTCATTTATATGTTTCAGGAGACAGCTGAAGGGGAAGAAAAATCGGCTGACACTCCAGATACGTCTTTTTGTGTAGATTTGAATTGTAGTGAGGAAAGCGAAGGCAATTCTCAAAACTCTCAGAAAATGACCACCACTGACAGACTACAGAATTCGGGATGGGATAAATTTCCAGAAGCTTTTGTAGCACCTTCAGCCAAGAAGCTCCAGTCTTTGGAACCTATGGGTAAACTGAGAAATTTTCATGTTTGTGTATAATATTTTAAATGAGCGGTGAGAAGCAGAAAGATGGTACCGCAGGTGAAAATAGGTAGTAAAAAGGATTTGCTGAGCTAAGTGACTCTTCTTTTCCCCTTAAGGCACTCGCTCTCTATTTAGTATTTTTTCTTGGGAGCAAACAGGAGTATTTTCTGGCAAACAGACCACATGTTCTCATCTACCCATTTTTTTGTAAAACACATGCCCTGAAAGAATGAAAAGTTCACTTGTAAGATAGTCTGTTCAGTCTCCCGTTGTTTCAAGAACTATTTCACAGTTGTCCCATTTTCTTATTTGACAGATACTCTACTGTAATGGAGTGAGCTGGCTCAGAATATCTATCAAGTGGTATTGTAATTTCAGAAGAAAAATACATCTTTCTGTAAAACTGACAGTTTAGGACAATAACTAATCCTAAAGCTGCCTTTGCATTGTTTGTTTAAACAAAGCGCTCAATATACAAATGCATGAATGGAAAAAATTCCACATATTGCATATGATGACTGTAGAGAGAGCTGCAAGGGAAATGATCTGAGGTTAGTTGACCATGGAAATAATTCAGTTAATATCATTCTGGGGCCCAAGCAGATTTACTACTGCACCCAAGATTTGTTAGGACTACTTTCACTCCACAGACTTCCTGAATTTACTATTCTTTTGGCTTTCCTTAGTCATAGTTGCAGTGGAGTCTAGTTGAAGCAGCTAAAAATATTCATTCTCTTTTCAGAATGTTTACAGGATCTAAGCACCATTGGAATAGTGGAGCTGTTATTCCACATAAGTAAATAAAATTTTCACGTGAGAGAAAACAATACAGAAAGCAATCATTAATAATGCAAGCTGCATTTCTAGCTTTTTTGAAAGTGTATCGGAAGTGCTGTTATGCTATTGTAGAACAGACTTTTTTTGGCTACTTCAACATCTGTCTGCAGTTTGATTACATGGTCCTGAGCTATTTTAAGAGCAGCAGGTTTAGTCCATCTAGTTGTGTACATAGCTTTTCATGCATTCTGATTGAATCCATCGGATTTTTTTTCTTTGTTTGTTTTAGGGTAGTGAAGTGCAAAAGTAGCACCCCCCTGCCCCTCACCCGCCGCTAGACTTACCAGATCAAATATCTCTCCAGAAATTCTTCCTTTCCTCCACCTTCAGCTTGCTTTTCAGTGGTGGTCTGGCCAGTGAGGTGTGACGTTTGTAGAGCAGCTGCAGTTTAGTGTTAGCTCTATTGTATTGTTTTTCAAATTGTTTGAGAATTTTCAGGGTGAAAAGTGTGATGCATATATATGCAATTGTTACAGTTTTCTTCTGGTCTTTCTAAGCAAGTACAGTAGTTTCAGGAGAAAACATTTCATGTCCTAGTTTTAGTGTAACATGGCCACTCTGAAGCCTGATCAGTGCTGGAGAAGTAAATGTTTTTCTTTCCAACATCCTTTCTAGAACTTCTCGGGAGTCCTTGGCGCAATGTTCAGTTGCCTTTCTCAGTCATCTATGTAGCTAAGGGGAAGTCTCGGCCGGAGTTATCGGCTCGCTACCTAATTCGTCATCTCTTCACGGAAGATGTCCTGGTGAAAAGCAATGTATATGGTAATCTTGAACGTGGCATGAGTCCCCTGGACTGCAACAGAATTAATGCTCTCAGAGGTATGTTGGAAAATCTCTATTCAAAGGATAGTCTGGGGAAATTAACAAGAGTGATTAACTTTGTATCTTATGAACACGCCATGACGTTTCAGAAATGAGTCTTTGAAACTGCTCTATCAGATATTAGTACAAGCAGCGTAAAAAGTTGGAAGAAAGTGGATGACATCTGCTTGAAAGGGCAACACAAGAGGACACAGGCAGTCCTGGAGGCTTCTGGAGAGCGTCAGGGATTTCTTGACACAGATGCAAGAGGGGCCAAGCAGGCGTAATGCACAGCAGGATCTGCTGCCCTTGACAAGCAATGAGGAATAGTTTGGGGTGTGATAATCGGTGTCAGCCTTGACTCTAGAGACTCTGAATTAATGGACCTCAAGATTATGAGGGGAGTGAGAAAGGCAAGTAATCGAGTTAAACCCTGGAATTTAGGAGAGCAGACTTCAGCTTATTTGGGAAACTTGTAGGTGGGATCTTATGGGAGACAGCTCTGAAGAGGAGAGAAGCTCAGGAAAGCTGGCAAGTCTTTAAGGACAGCATTCTGCAAGCGCAAGAACTGTTTGTCCCAGGACTGCCATTGAGAGGGACCTTGACAGGCTGGAGAAATGGGCAGAGGGGAGCCTCACAAGTCCTGCACCTGGGGAGGAATAACTCCAGGCACCAGTGCAGGCTGGGGACCAACTGGCTGGAGAGCAACTTTGCAGAGAAGGCCCTGGGGGTCCTGGTGGACACCAGGTGGAACATGAGCAAGCAGTGTGCCCCTCCTGGCAAAGTATGCCTCTGGTATCCTGGGCTGCGTTAGGAAGAACACTGCCAGCAGGTCAAGGGAGGTGTTCCTTCCCCTCTGCTCTGCCCTAGTGAGTACACATCTGGAGTGCTGCATCCATTTTGGGTCCCCGAGTACAAGAAAGACATTGGTAAACTGGAGCGAGTTCAGCAGAGGGGCCACCAAGATAGTCAGGGGGCTGAAGCCCTTTAAGGGCTGAGAGGTCAGCTGTCTCTGTTCGCTAAAGAAGCTCAACCGAGAGGAAAAATGATTTAGTAGTGTAGAAGCTTATAGGTAGGGTAAGGGCTGCTGCCAAGTGAATAGGCAGCGTTTTGAAACTGACCTATTTGAGCAGCTCGGGTAACTGTTCTTTATTGAAGCATGTCTTTTCAAAAAACCGTGTAACAGCCTATCCCATTGTATGAACGTAGACAACTTTTCAATTTCCTCACCTTAGATGAATTCAGAATGCCTTCAGGAAGTTAATGCCTTATTCTATTCACTAATCCTATTCCCGAAGCGAAGGAAGGGGAAGTTATGGTTGGAGTTGTAGTAGGGATGCTGCCTTCTCCAACATTTTTGGGTCAGCATTAAGAATTTTGGAACAGTGATCCATGCTCCTTCCTTAGAGGGAGCCTTCTGTTTGCCTTAGTCATTCCCTCCTGCAAGGCTGGATTAAAGCAAGCAGAACTGTGGCAGTGGCAGTGGCAATAGAATTAGCATAGCAGTTATGCAGTGAGTGGGAAGGAAGGTGCAGCAGGTTGTAGGTAGAAAATGTCTAGGGTTTACTGCACAGGGGAAAAGCTGGCATCCTTCGGTAGGATTTAAGCATGTTCGGCCCAAACAGTGGTGTTGGGCGGGGAAAGATCATCAGATTTTTGGCTGCCGTTTGCCCTGTGCCCGTCTTAGTTGAATGCATTTGAAAAGGTTTGGTCAAACAATATGGAAATGTTTCTGTCTTTTCTTTATTTGTCTCTTTTTCTATCTCATTTTCATTGTGAAAAATGTTTCTGTTGTTTTTTTTCTAGGATAAATATGAAGAGAAAATATTTTGAAGGTTCTTAAGTTTTGTTTGTGGGTTGTCACTTACTGGGCTGGATCCCAGGTTGCAGGCAGTATGATAACGGAGCGCCTTTTACATTCTCCCAACGCTATTGTTTTGATGTAGGATTTTTTCCCCCTTCCTCTTCGACCTCAATGTGAGAGAGAGCTTGCTGGGTTAGTGAGGTTGCATATTTGGCCAGAGGCTCTCTGCTGCAGCCTCTTCAAAGGGAGATTCATCATACATTTTTGCAACATGAATCTCTGAACAGGTCTTGAAACTGCTTCTCCTTTGTGTCCAGAGTATATGGAGATTGGAAGGGTAGTTAAGATCTGGATTGTACAGCCCAAGGACTCTGAGCTCTGCTTAGGCTGACAGCTCCTCAGGGGTGTGGCAGTTTTGCCCCTAAGATTACAGCTATGATGCCAGATAAAATGAGGCCATGGGCGAGCTCAGTTTTCCTTTTGGCTTAATTACTTGCATTTTCCTTGGCGTGGGTCTGGTCCAAGCACTGGCCCAGCTTGCACTCTCTGGGATGATGCCTGGGCATGGTCTGAGGGATACTGAATGCCATAGACCGTTCCCAATAGACAGTATAGGCAAGACTATGCCAAGGTAGGCTTTCTCTGGACTGTTTGTTTCTCCAACACTAACCTAGGAGGGTTGGCCCCTTTAAATTTAATCTCCACATGCTCCCGTGCCACACGTTCATGACATTCTAAACTGCAGAAGCACACAAAAGACGTATTAACGGTGTCACAGGGCTGCAGGAAGACCAAATGGGCATGTATAGCATGGATGCACCAGACTGCGTTACGTGGTCTAGGGGGAATGTCCTCTGGCCCTGTTTTAACACTGTAGTATATCCTGATTGGATGACCGCATCTACTCCCTGAATGCGGTCCTGCAGAGCAGGAAGGGGCCCAGCATAGGCTTGCAGTAGTCTTAACAATTAATTGATTTCTGCAAAAGAAAAAGCATAATTAAAAAGCTGTTCTGTGGACCATGTACTAAGGCACTGGTCTGTGCTGTAACTCTGAACTTGCTCTCAGGGATGGAAGGGAAGGGAGCCCGGCTGCTACTTAAAGGCAACCGGGCCTTTAAGTATCTTTTGTCAGTGTAGTTCATTGCAGGAACATTCTGGGAATACAGGACTCTGAGGAGCTTTCTCTTTTGAGTGGTCCAAACCACGCAGAGCAGAGAGCTAACTGCGAGAGCGCAGGTTTTCCTCTCAGCTCTTTTCTTCCTTCTGACCCATGCTTTTCAGGCAAAATAGGTCTCCAGATGTAGAGCTGCAGGCTAAATGGGAAATTAAACAACTGTATCAATGATACTGTGTTTGATTGTTACTTGTTAAGATATGTGAGAGCAAAGGAAGAACAAAACTGAAATAGTATCAAGTAGCCATGCCTTTCCTTCTGCTAAGGTAAAACTATATTGATCAGAGGTAGAAACGGTCATGCTTTTAATGTGAAATTACAGTTGAGAATTCCTTTTTGTTACTCGCTTAGAGCTTTTAAGTGCTTGCTGAGAGAAAGCATATAGTTCAGTTAAGCTCACAAGGACAGTCCTCACTAATAAATAAGAAATATTTTTATCTGTTCTTAAAACTACTCACTTTAGATGTGGAAGGGGAGAAGGGTGCAACAGTGTTACCTTATCTATCATATTTTGCTGCCTTCATCAAGATTTGCTCACTGATCTTGTTACAGCACAGTAAGGAATGGACTCTTGCAGTTTTTCTGTCACCATTGTTCCTGTGTTCTGTTAAATTGCTGTGTTTCATTTTAGCGACTGTAGCTGTCGGATTTTTGAAAGGAGGGTTTGGGCCTGACAAATATTGGGCATTCTGAAATCGAGGCTGAGCCTCCTTTGCTCCTGTTGACTGCCTTAGAGGTCGAAGCTATTCTGTGCTTTAAAGGATCCAGCCCACGTGAGGGTTATGTGCTTTTTTTTTTTTTTTTGTATATTTCATTTTTAATCCTTAGACTGTTGGTCACTTGTAAGAATTTCAAAATAAATAGGAAAAGGGGAAGAAATCTGCCCTCTACCTTTTGACTCCTTAAGCCTAATAATGTGCCTAGCTGTCCTGTTTTGGTAACATGCACTTGTTTTGGCCTAGTTGCATCCAAAAAAACATAAGGAGAATATAGCTTGCATAAATAATTGATATCTTGCTATTATATGTTTTTTTCTTGTTAGACTTTCTTCAAGAGAACTACCCATCCTTTGATCTGAAGGAAACTGGATACGATTGGAAGGCATGCGTGGCTGCCATAAACAGCACAATCCGCAGTCTCAGACATGACCTTAAAAAGGCTACGGTTGGAATGCGCAGGAGACTGTTAGCAATGCCACCACCAAGCAAAAAGAGTCCTCCACAGAGTCCCATTTCAATAAAGGCATATGAAAGTGACACTATCAATCTCACAGACTGAAGTCCGCCAACAGCTGTCTCAAATCTTAATTTAGTAGGCTTTTATAAATCCCGCACAGAAGCCTATTACATTGAGTTATCAGCAGCACTAAATAGTATATTTCAGGAGACCAAAGTTGTCAGAAGACCTAGGAACCCTAGCTACTTGTGTAAGTAGGCTTTGTGCTCCCCAAAGAGATGACATCTGCTGTTCCCTCTAGTGTTTGTGACGTGCTCTCCTCCGAAGGCACCTTCTTTTCAAGATTCATTGACTCTGAAAGAATAATTTGATTACAGAAGACGCACTGCACGTCAAGTCAGCAGAAGCAGATGGGAATGGGGAGAGAAGGGATGCTCCTCCTTGGAGGAAGATTCATAGCCGGTTAAGAGCATCTCGTTATGTGTGGGGAGGGAGATTTGATACAACAGCTGGGTATTTTAACCCATAATACCTAATGCAGAAAGGAAAATACAATTGTTATTGCATCTAGCTAATTTGACATATATATATCTCACTTTTTTTCCCTTCCTATAGCAGTCTTTTTTTGTAGGGTAAGGAAAGAGGCAGACAACAACGTAAGTACAGTTGTTGGTAAGTAATGTTTTCTTCCCTCTAATTTAGATCTGGTTTGCAAAATCACAAAAGCACCTAGAACAAACATCCCAATACTTAGTTCTGTTTGTTCTTGATGTGAATTTAATGAAAATATATCTTCAAGGGCATAGTCCACTGTTCAGTGGCATGTATCTATCTCATGTCTGATGTCCACAAAGTGCAAATCTGCTGCAACTCTTTTATCTAGAGGATTTGGATACAGATTTAAAGAATCGTTTCCATCAGCTTCAAGTCATTGGTCCTCCAATTAAGATTGTAGAGACACATATTCTACTGCTTGTATGCAGTCAGAGATTACCAGCATCAATGGTACATCTTCTCCAGCTCATGATCGTAGCTTTTAGTATACAGGTCTGCAGCTGCTTGTGTACAAGGCTAGGCATATTACTTTGGTGTCTCTTCAGGTTTCATTTTTGAAGACATGTCATCCTGTCCTGGTTAACTTAATCACTGCACATCTCTCAGAGTTTATCCCTGTCTTCCCCTTTCTTTATGCTTACACAACACTAAGATTTATTAATGGGCTGAATTACAACCAAAAAAACCCCTCATTTTGGAAATTACTGGGATGTGAGAATAATAAAAATAAGTTAATAGAAATTAATACCTATGTATACTCAATTTAATGTCCCCCTCAATTTAGTTTATAAATTGAAATTCAGCAGCAGCAGTTTTACAGAAGTTAAGGGTTTTTTCTTTTGTTTTTTCAATAGAGAAAATAATCTATATATGCCTTCCTGTTGCTTCTTTCTCCCAGCATCAGTCACACAGTCCTATCACTTTTTACAGGTTGGCTAGTTGGTGCGTGAACTTGCCCTGCCATTTGCATCATCTCTGAGTTTAGTCTCAGATGTCCATATTTTTCACAGAAAAATAGCTCTTCAGAAGACTGACACAATAAGGAATCAGCTTCACCTCTGAAAGCTGTTTTAACTGTGGCTTCCAAAACTATGCGTGTGTACATAGTATGATTTAACTAGATCTGTCCTCTAAGGCGAAGGTTTCTTTTTGTTGTTGTTGTTGTTGTTGTTTTTATTAAGAGTAGGATAAAATAGGAGTGAAATTACTTGTTTTCACTTTAACTTCTATCCATAACAAATGGGCAGTGTTTATTATATACATGAGAGGATCACAATACAGTTTTTTTTATTGCAAGTTAGGATATGCAATGTCCTTATCAAATAAGAAATTAATATTTCCCCTATCAGCTCCTTCTTGCCATGCAGATATTTTTTGTAGACTTTAAGAAGTAGTTTCAACTGATTAATTCTCAGAGAAATGTTGTACTGCTGTTGGTCAGTAACATATGAAATTTGGTGGTTCTTGTTTACTACCAACAAATTCTGCTGTTACTGTTATATACAGTCTGTCTTGTAAATGCCGATAGTTTTATATTGTGTGTAGATATTACTAGTTTGAAACCTCAGAAGAAGCCAAAAATGCTTATATTTTTTCAGTAGTTATATGAAATTTTTTCCACTGTCATTCATAGATTTTAATAATAGAATGATATATTTATTGAATAACCTGTCTGGCACTGAAATTTGTTAATGTGGTGCATACCTCTAGCTTCCATATTGAAAAGAGAGCTGAATAATTGAATAAAAGTAGAAATAGTTTTCTTGTTTCTGTTAGAAATGTATCAATTTTGCTAACTTTTATAAAATAAAACTATAGTATTTTGCTCTTAGAAAAAATTATTTTACAAATAAAAGTAGCATATAGCTCCTTGACTAATTATCTGTGTTTCAAATATTTCTTGCATCATGGACTTCTGGTTCAGGTACAGTTTCATCTGAAAACATTCTTTTGATCTCCTTTCAAGAATTAGAGCTTTGAGGAGGTCTTCCGATTGTGCTGAGATGACTTCAAAACTTAGACTGCCTTAACTGATATAGTAAATCAAAGCAAACTCTTTGAATGTACTTACTTGGGTTCGGCTAAGGTCACTTACAGATTCAGAGATTTGCACAAAGGAGTAGGAGTTGGGTACTTTTTTTTTTTTTTTTTTTAAGAAACTCGTATAAACTAGTGCATTTTTCAGGAGGTTAGGCTTAATTCCCACGCTGGTGTAGCAGCTTCTGTGTTCTTGTCCCATTTTATCCTTTGAATAAGGAATAAGGTAATCTGTTCATTTGAAACACTGAAAATTCACCGTCTTCCATCTTTGTAGCCCAAATATCTGATCCTAATGCAACATGAGTCCCTCCTGTGTACAGTAGAGCTGGGCCACTTTATTTATATTCATGTTTTTTGAAAGTTAAGATCCTAGGTGACTGGTTAGCTCTCTGTATCACATCCTCCTCTACTCTTGGGCAGGGTGGCTTCATGGCAGATACGCTGCTAGAAACTGCTTTTCAGCAGATCTCTTCACACATGCTTCCCACGTTGCCAGAGAAGGTGGGTAGATATGTGAGTGAATGAGTGAAATGGACAGAGCAAACATTGTTCCCTGATGTTGGCAGTCCCTTTAAGGGATTTCCAAAGGAGATGAGAGGTAAGTCTGCATGAAGCTTTCCCTTTATGTTTTCCTTAACTGTGGTGTGGCAGTGTGGGTGACTTCTGTGTATCTATAGACATGGACCACCGTATGCTTTTGTCTCCCGTATAGTTGTTTGTTGCACTTAATGTGAGGGAACAGCAGGACTGGGGCTCCTCTGTGAGGAAGAACGGGCCGGGGCGCCCAAAGCACAGGCAGGTCTGTGCCCTTTCTGATGCAGCACGATCCTACGGGATCTGAGCAGGGCTAGGGTGGTGACAGTGGCAGGATCCATTGACAGCTCCAGATGAGGCAAGGTGGTCCAGTCAGCAGCAGGAGAAAGGGCTGCAACATCGTGAGGCTCCTGTAGGAGACGGGGCCGAAGACAGACCTGGAGACAAGACTGTGATGTCAGGCTGGGTCCCTCCAGGATGTCCAGTCAGCAGTGGGGCCAGGGCTGCCCTTACGGGGAGCTCCTGGGCTCACAGGCAGAGGGAGCCAGGGCAGGGAGGGGTCCAGGGGCAACCAGGACTTCTTGGTGCCCTCGGGGCTCTGATACAAAATTCTGCAGGTTTCACAGTATATATTAAATTATCCAGTTTATAGATGCGTTCAGTTTTGATAGCCATAACTTTTTCCTTAGAAAAACTTTAATACTCCCATCATCTTCAAATGTTTTTTTGAATTGTTTGATGAGAGCACTCATAAGATTTTAGAATAATGTAGAAAGGATTAAATATTTTTGCAGTTCTTTATTTGTGACTTGTTTATAGATATATTGCAGTGTGATTATTTTCTCTTGTACCATCATTGACTTATTTTGTTCAACAGAAGAAATCTCATGCATTTTGTTATGCCTGATATCTATGCATAAGGTCAGACAGGAACTTCTGACTTTAAATGCCATCTTAACTATGGGTTTATTAGGTATTTAGCTTAGAAATTTTGTATTAGTTGTTTCTTTTACTGAATGGTGAGGTGACATAAACTGTACTGCTCCATGGAATTGAAAACTGTGGTTTTTTTTTTTTTTTTTTTTTTTTATGCATTTAAAACTCCTGGACAGATTGAAGGGCGATAGCACCACCTACCGTGAGCCAGAAGTCTTTCTGAGAATCAGAAAACCTCCCTGTCTTAAGTATTCCAAAAGAAAGAAAATGAATTCTGCAAATTTGATTTTGGTGCTTTCCCTGAATTTAAAGTTTTACTTTTAGCTGAGCTTGACACATTTATAAACTTAGTCTGCTTAGTCTTTTAAAAATGACCTGGTTTGACTTTGGATTTTTTTGTTAGGTGAGACAGCTTTTGTTTTAGTTACAGATTTACAGGTGCTGTGTAAAGTAACACATAGAACAAGCGTACACATGCCTGAATATGAGCAATAAAAAAGTGGGGGGCGATTGGAACATTGGCATTAGTATCTCTTTGCCTTGCAGACTTAGCAGATTCTTCAGTATTTATTCTGCTAGCATTATCTTTCCGAAGGTGACATCTTCTTTGGGAGCCCTGTTGGGGAAGAGAATTCCAGAGGCATCAGCAGGCAAGCGAGTGCATGAGGTCTCGTGTTTGGGAATTCTTAAAGGTGTGCAAGGGACCAAGGTTGCACAGAAGGACGTCTCCCTGCTTGTAGTGTCAGGTTTCAAAAAGCAAAAATAACAATGCTGTAGGCTAGGAGACGTTAACAGTATCATTGGGTGCTTAGCTTGAGAGCCGAAAGGTTGCAGTTGTGTGACACAGACTAATAAGCCAGTCCAATGGAGGCAATTTTTGGATATGTGAAGTAGCTACATTCTAAAGCACTTTGATAGCTGAAACAAACTGGAGTTCGAGCCTCGGGAAGACTTCAGAATAATGTGGCAGTGCAAATGTACTAAGTGCCAAAAAGACAGGGAAAAGGAAGGGGCCTAACCAGATGTGAAATTCTGCAGAATCTCCTATTTGGAAGTAAAGTTGCTAATCAAAGATGAAAACCTACACTGCTAATAAACAATAAGGCATGTGTCTTCTATTAAATACCCTAAGTTGCTTAATTTAGGTGTTATCTGGACTAAGACGGGAAAGGGGATCCAAAACTTGTTGCCTAATGTGTCTCAGTGTAGAGAAGGCAGTTCATACTTATAATTAGTTCCAAGCCAGAGGAGTTAAAGTCCAAGTTCCAGCAAATATGGCTTGTTCAGACTAGATTTTTCTTATGCCAGTTAGTTAATGCATGCTGATGTCACACCTTTTAAACTGAATCAAAACAAAGTCTGAGTGTCTGTCAGAATCCAGACTGCTGCTTCACTGAAGTTGCCTTCTCTTAGCTTTTGACTGAGAAGGCTACTTAGGGTTTGGTGAACAGATCTGAGTTACATCATCTGTAACAGCATCCTTCTAGTCAGCTGAGCTTCCTAACTGCTTGGCTGTGTGAAATATTGCCTCCTCAACAATATTTCATTGTTTACCTTATTTTCTTCCTTTCCCCAGTCCTTGTTTTGCCTCACTGGAATGAACCATGAAAGCTGATGAAGAAAGGCAAGCCTATTTCATTAAGCTTCAGTTTGCTTTCAGAGATCTGGAAAACGTTCAGGGGTCTGCAAGTTGAAAGAGGTAGAAAAACACTTGCTGAAAACTGAAGAACTGTATTGTGTTGCTGTTTGAAAAACGTTAACAGCGAAGACAAGAGATGGCCTAGGGCTGGATTTTGGGAGCAGTCTTTGTATCATGTCCTACTCTGGCTCCCGGAGCACCGGTTTCCACTCTGATTTGGCAACATACGTTTAGTTACCTGATCCACAAAATTATTTCTGTCCCTTTAAGCAGTTACACAGGCAGGAAATTTCGGAAGGAAAGAGGACTGGAGAAGCTATTTATGTTGACACTGAAACCTAAATGCGTATGTTACATTCCTGACCATTAGGTACTACTAGGCTTAGTTTAGTGGCTATAGGAAAGGAGAACAGAGTGAGTGGAGCAGTCAGGCGCCTGGGGTATGAAAATGCAGAATGTAGGCAATTTTTTTTAAATATTGCTGCCACAGAAAGGTGAAAATACTGAAAAATTAATGATAAAGGATTACTGTCGAGATTATTTTTCCCCTTGTTTAAATGTTTTTTGCGCGTACTTTATTGACTCTGAACTGAGGGAAAAATACGAAGAAGTAAACAAAGCTGCCGCTTCCTCTAGAAGAGATGAAAAATAGCATTTTAGAGTAGCTATTCTCCATTCACCTTTTGCCGCTGCTCTGGAGGATGAGTTAGTTTTCAACGTTATGCCCATGACCATCTTGGAAGACAAATTCAGTCATTTAAAGCAGCAATCTATTAAAATCCTCGTCTTCCACACATTGAACTTTTTTATTCTTAAATTTCAGTAAGATACTGTTCCATAAAACATTATTTTAATCCTTTCCATGTATTTGGATTATATGTGAGGATAATTTTTCTGCTATTTGATCTCATGGAGGTGCTAGTAGAGCACAATTTGTCTTTGTTGAGGATGTAGTTTACAGACTTTCAGTGCTCACTACAAGCAGAGAGAAACAAATGCAGATATCTGTAGAATTTTTTTTACTTCTCTCTGTTTGGCAAGTGAGACGTTTTTACATGGTTATCTTACTTTGGGATGTAATTCCTTTTTCCCTTTAGTAACTGTAGTAACAGTAATAGATACTTTTGCTATAGCAAGCCACCAATTAAAACCTTTTGTATTTTTGTGGCTTTTCTCGATTTCATTTTAAATATGTAGTTGTCTTACAAAAGCCTTTTCTCAGAAACAGTGGGCAAAAACTAGTCTTGCTTAGTCTGAAAGCAAATCTATTCAAGCTTTTGTTTGGCTTTGAATTTATTAAACTGATATTGGTGCCTATGGTCCACTTTTACAAACAGCATCTAAGTGTTCAAACTCTGCTGTCCTATGTAGGACTACTCAGGGTAGTAAAAATGAACATAAACACAGCTGAAGAATCAGCGTCTCAGTTAGCAAGTAAGAGCCTCATTGAAATAAATAATGAGGGGGGGAAAAAAGTATAATATTTCATCAAAAGATGGCAGGGAACAAATGCAGGAAATGGGGGGGTGGGGTGGGGTGGGGTGCACTCAGTCAACCTTTGACAAATTAGCTCTCCCACCCTCCTCCTGGGAGT